CATTAATGCCACTTAGTGGTAAAATATGACCAGGCTTTGTTTCATCTTGAATGTATGAAGTATAAATTTGTCTGCCAAATCATAGTTTCAGAACATTACTAGGATGGATAAGGATTTATCAGCCTCTCCAGTCATTAGTATTTCATAGTAGAGACCTGTAGTGTTTTGTGGTTACCAACATGGACACATCATATAATGAATTACATACTCATATTGTTACAGGGTAGCCCAGAGTGGACTGTGCTGCCTGTCTGTGGGGCCTCACCTGCGTGCTCACAAAAGGGTCAATAATGGGTTTATTTACAAAAGGGGAAAGGAATGGGAAGCAACCCAGTGAAAGAGAGCGGGATACAAAGTGATTGCAATACCTTACAGGCTAGGCTGACTGAATGCACCAAGTCACGAGGTCAGGAGAGCTGCTTCCGGAGCCAGAGAGCCAGAGACCATGAGATGCAATCTCGCCCTATTTATCCCCCCAAGTGTCCCAGAATTCCTGCTAGCCCCGCCCTTGGGTCCTCGCAGTTCTCTCCCTGGTACTGCTGGGAGTTGTAGTTTTCAATCACTGGAGTAGGTGTAGGGTCCAGAAAGCTGGAGTAGCAGGTGGAGTCCATTAGACTTCCCCTTAACAATATCATGAGCAATGCTAGTAAATCCAGTGATAATTTGCTGCAGGCTGTAAAATCAATTTGTATCAATGTGTGGGTCTAAACTTGTGTTTTACCCTCAGGTGATTGATATTTCTATTTGTCCCTTTTCCATTATGTCTGTAGTTGTGTTAACACTTGTTAAATATAAGTGTTAAATCAGACAATTAAGGGTATATATTTAGGGTGCTTTAGTGGCCCAAGAGGTTAATTCTCAGCATTATAAGGCTATAGGCAGCCACTGCAGCAAGAGTTTGATCCCCGGCCAGGAAGCTGACCAACATGGCATAGCAGACCCCTCCTTTCTTGCCAACTGCTCCCCTCATTAGTGTATTTCAGTAGATCTGCCTGTTCTGCTCCCAATTCTGTCTCCCCCCGCCCCCACCCTGCATCTCTGGTCTACACCCCAGCTCTAGTATGCATACACACATGAAGTAAATCTTTAAAAAAAAAAAAAGATCCTGTTTACATAGATAACTTTATATAGAGATGATATGGATTAAATAATTGGAAGTAATTTGCAGCCATCTAAATACACTATTATTTATGAGCTATTCACCTACGAATCTGTGCATCTGTTTTTTTATCTTGCAGTTCATTATGCTGACATACCTTTTCATGTTGGCCTGGCTGGGAGTCACGGCTTTTACCTCACTGCCAGTTTACATGTACTTCAATCTGTGGACCATCTGCCGAAATACCACCTTGGTGGAGGGAGCAAATCTCTGCCTGGACCTTCGTCAGTTTGGTAGGTGGCTGTCTGATTGTGAGACAGAACCTCATTTGGTTGTCCTGAAACAGCTGGCCCTGCAATGCTGCCAGTCACTTCATTGCTTGGAAAGGCATCAACATGGCCCCCTCCTAACAGAGCGATGAATATAGCCGATGTTCACTTTGGAGACATTCTTTCTTCAGTTTACAAAGTAGGGGTTCTGGGGTGCTTGGACGCTGTCCTCACGGCATGAACATGAGCACGTGCATGGTGAGCAGGCGATCAGATTTACGTCCTGACCTGGCCAGTTGTAATTGTGATTAACCTATCCAGAGTCCTGGTGCTTTTCCAAATTCAAAGTGCTTTTTGTTTTTCATTCTCTTCTGTTAAAAATTTCACAAATTTTGAAGTCTAATGTGATGGTCACCATGACATATGTACTTTTAAAGTAGGTCAGAAAACTTCACATTGGATATAAACAAATCAGAGATTATTAAATAAATCAGTAGTCCTCTTTCATTAATATTATCTTTTTTGCAGGCTAATGTTTCATGTTTGAGTAACAGTTTGCTTTATGTATATGGACTGACAGTGTGAAGATCCTGTATATGTTGATTTGACTAATTCTCACGGCACCTCTATATGGGAGACACTATTATTATACTCGTTGATAAATGACAGAATGGAGAGGTTAAATAATGTTAGTATAACCCTCCGTTAGGTTATATTAGTTATACTATATCTATACTAAGAAGTTATAGCTAGTAAGTGAGAGAGCCAGAGTTCAAACTGAGGCAATCTAGCTTCAGAGACTGTGCTCTTAATTGTAAATCAGCTCACTCTCCTATTGAAATAGGAACAGAACTTGAGAATGTGCAAAGTTTAATCGCAGCTATCTGCAATTCTAGTTCATCATTTGTAAAAACACTGTAGCTATGAATTTTAAAAGATATGCATATTCACAAGCTCAAATGGACTTTTTTTTTTTCTTGCACTGAGCAGTTATTAAAATTGAACCTCTTAGCATCTGGAACATTCTAAATGTTTTTCTCTATTGAGATTTCTTCATACTTTAAGCCAGTAGGTAACATTTCACTAGCTGATGTCTGAAGGCCTGGTGCCCTGAGGGTATATTAAGGGCACATCACAGGACAGAGAGCACATAACAACTTTGTGACTAGCTTGTGGTGTTTTTCAACATAGAGGTCCATCTGCCATCTTGTCAGAGTCCTCAGGTCCCTATCGTCAGATTCAAATTATAAACAGGACGGTCCATTCTGAGGGTGAAGTTTTTTGTCAAGGAGACAATAGAAAACTATGAGCAGCTCTTGCACTGGGGAGAGGTATGTTTGCATGGACATTTTTACATGGACATGATTCCGAGGTTCAAACCAAGAGGTTTCTCTTGCCTGGATGAGGAAAATAATAGCAACTGTGTACATACTATGTATTATTTTCTGTAAAGATTTTCTTATTTCAGTCACAGCCATTTCTTCCAAAGTCATGAGTGTATTGCTTTTCTTTAGCCAACCTAAACTAGAAAGAAAAGCTGTAGACTAAGCCTACAGGACACCTCTGCTGTACCAAGTGCTGCCGCTATCCCTCTCTGCAGTATGCTGTGGCTCATTCTCTTGTGCAATACTTGCTGGGATTTTTTTTGACAATAACATTTTTTATTTTTTAAGCAGTTGAGAATTGTTTACTTTTTCGCTCGCCCTTAAAGAACTTGCTCTCAAGTTCTTTAAGACGAGAGGCCATTGTATATGAAATCATTAAAACCCAGGAAGTCAATGATGTGTTACTGACTCTTAGTGCAAGTACAATTCAGACAAGGTGCAGAAATCAATATAATGACAAATAATCCAAGAAATAAAGAAAAGGTCGGGTTTCAGCTACCCCTTGAAGAAAGGGAAGACTTGTTAGCCCAGTAGTTCTTGACCACCAGCATTACTTCTTACCCCAGCAGACTTCAGACACATTTCCAGAGTTTTTTTTTTTTTTATTGTTGAGGTGAACAATGATTTATAACCGCATTCGCGATTCAGAGGTGCTTGTTTTTTCTCCTAATCGTTGCTAAGAAACTGGAAATGTCCATTTGTCTATTATAGAGAAGCTAAAAGCTTCTCTAATGTTTCAGCAAGTAAAGCATGTCAATATTTTTAAAATTTAGTAAACTTGAGTGCTTGCTTCAACAACACATATACTAAAACTGGAGCAGTGGAGAGAAGATTAGCTTGGTCCCTGTGCCAGGACACTCAAATGCATGAGCACGACACAGTAAAAAAAAAAAATAGTGACCTTGAAAAATTTAATTTTGGGTTATGCCAACTTAGCTATCCATACACAGACACATATGAGCGAAAATAATCAAGTTTCCAGATTTATATTGTAGCACATCTTATATACCTGGGTTTATTGTCAGTTTCCTATTATTTTACGTGTTTATTTACAAACTAGTATGAAATGTAGGTTGTGATCTATAGTATGTATATGACAAAAACTGCATTCTCTATGTGATGAACATACTTTTTTTTCCTAAAGATTTATTTGTGCATACAGAACTGGGGTACAGGCCGAGGCTCAGGGGCAGTGAGAGGATTCACCAGAGACAGAGTGGGGAGCAGAACAGGCAGATCGATGAAGTCCACTGCTGAGGGGAGCAGCGGGCGGGTCAGGAGAGGTCTGCCGCGCCATGTGGTCACCTCCGGGGCAGGCGGGAATCGAACTCATGCGGAAGTGGCTTTAGCTTCTCAGTGCTGTGCTTAACACGCTGCGCCACCAGGTTGGGCCGTGATGTACATACTTTATATGCACAGACTTACTATTTATGTGTTTATAAATTTGTACATCTGAAAACACTTATATGTATTTTACATGCATATTTATGTTTGTATATAAAATGTATTTAAAAGCATATGTGTGTGTGTGTGTGTGGGTGCACACACACACACACATCACCAGGAAGGCTTGGGTACAATTTTGAAAGTAATGAAGGAAGACCTTACGAAATAGCTGTCATGTGAAAGAAACAAAGACTTAACCATGTGGGTATTCTCAGAGGAGGGAGGATCTGGTAAAAAGTTACCAAGGCAATGCCTTGGTTCCTTCAACGAAAAACAAGGAGGCCTGTGTGACTGAACTAGAATAAGAAAGTAAAGAGAAGAGATGAAGTCTGGGGTTCATGGAACATACTATTTTTATGAGTCTAATGAAGGACATAGCAATTGTAATTCTAAAGGAAATGCAGAATATTGCAGGTTTTGCCAGAAGAGAAACTAGGCTCCATTTAAATTATACAAGGGTCATTCTGCCTGCTGGCTAGAACCAGTTTGCAGCAAGAGTAGAAACAAGAGTGCAGTATCACATTCACATCACAATCCCGCGCTACGACATTAGTGACTCGGCTGAGGATCGTAACAAAGGAAGCATGATGAGGATTCTGAACATAAACTGAAGATTATATTTTGAGATGGACTACCTGTAGGGTTAAGAGAAAAAGAGGATTTGAGGAGCAGTTGATTTCTTGATTAAGAAATTGAGGCGTTGGTTTTTCTCTTGAGAAGGGAAAAGCTGCAGGAAGTGTCTGCTAGAAAGTGGGTCATCAGAAGTTCAGTTTGAAAATGTTCATTTTTAGATACTTACTAGAAATCAGAACGGAGGTAAGAAACTGGACATGAATATGGATTCTGAGAGAGGTTTTTATTGCTTGAGTGATGAAAATAATAACAATGCTATGCATGCAGAGATGATTTAGGAATAGTTGCTGATGTTTAATATTTAAAAGTCTGAGAGTCACTGAGGTCAACAAGGCAGAAAAACAACTGAAGACCAGATGCCTAGATGCACACAAATGGCAGAGAGGAGGAGCCACACACAGACATGAAGACGTCAGTGAAAGACACAAAGAGTAGATCATAGCTCTAAGGCACCAGATGAAGAGAGCAAGAGGGAAGCGTGGTCAGCTGCCTCCAACATAGCTGACTGAGAAGCGAAATGAGAACTGAGGATTCGCCTTTGGTTTCAACAGCATGGCGGTTGTTGGTGACCTTTATAAGGAAAAATTCCTTGGAGACCTGGGCCAGAATCCAACTGGTGAGGGTTTCAGTGGAAACAACACATGGAGAGGAATCACAGACTGTGACCAAAAGGAACACTTCTTAGGAATTTTTCTGCAAATGTAAGGAAATGTTTTAGGCATGTGTGGACATACTATGTCCTCCACACACATGACATCGGGAATAAGTCAGTAAGGGGAATGGTAGTCTTTACCAAGAAGTGTCCCCGACAGTAATGGTTTACTGGACAAACCTTCTAGGCACTCTTTTCCTCACTGCTTAGAACCATTTTGGCAGAAAGGAAAGGTCACAGATAAGTGTCTCTACACTTGATGTCCTGAAAGGGGATAATGTTTGTTTGTTTGTTTTAAAGATTTATTTATTCATACACACAGGAACTGGGGTTCAGAGGTTCAGGGGGTGAGAGGATCAACCAGAGACAGAGAGAGGAGCAGAACAGGCCGACTGACAAAGTACACTGCTGAGGGGAGCCGCGGGCAGGTCAGGAGAGGTCTGCCATGCCATGTGGGTCACCTCCCCACTAGGAATGGAACTTGAGTTTCAGTAACTGTGTGTAGCTTCAGACCACTGTGTTTTAACTCTTTGAGCCACCAGGGAGGGCCCGAGATAGTGGTTTTAAACTGAAGAAGAAGACACAGACTTCAGAAAAGCAAAATGATAACAGATCCATAGGAGAAAGGAGCTGAAAAGTGCACCTTAGAGCTCAGAATGTGTGTGTGACACTCACTTATATAAAAACTAAACACAGAGCAGCAAGTGATAAAAGCTTGGGTATATGTTTTCCCAGAACTTGTGATATTTCCCCTTCTTGTTTATATGTGTTTAACATTTCAGTGGTTCTTAAAATTACGGAACCCGTTAGGCTTAAGCTGAGCACTTCTCTTTTCTGCAGGGAGAGCTGTGATCATTAGTCACCTTTGTGCTTCTAGAAAGGCAGTATTCCAGGCAAATGTTCATAGATCCATGCTGTGCTTTAGAAATGCACCTTCCTGACAGTTCCCCAGGTGGTTCTGATGCGTTGAGTTCATCAGGCACTGGAGCAAGGCTAACTATGAGCGAAATTACATCTTTATCTCTCCTTCCTAATGGCAGTGTTTTCAATACTAACAGGAAAATGACTCCTGTGGGCAATATCTTCTATAGAAACATTACGCTAGCAGAATAAATTTAAATCCAGACTCCAGCACAGTCTGGGGCATACTTTCCAAATGATTGTGATGCCTACACCATTATTGTAATGAACCAAACCAATGACTTACCTACAGAGGAATCTGAAGATTCTGGTAGCTAGATTCAACTTAATGTAGATGGAAAATGTTTTAAACTGCTGGAAGGCTTAATAGTTTTGGTCATCCTTTCCTAATTCTACTCATAATTATCACCTAACAATGAGAGCTGGGGAAGAATTTTTCTATTATAGCATAACACAAAGTAGAATTTGCTCAGATTTTATCAACATTTCTTTTTCTTCCACTGGGCCCTTGAAAACATTTATAAGGCTAAACTGTAATTTTCTCCATGCCGTAGGGATTGTGACAATTGGAGAGGAAAAGAAAATTTGCACTGTCTCTGAGAATTTCCTGAGGATGTGTGAATCCACTGAGGTGAGTGTTTTTACAGCCTTTAATTTAGTCAGAATTTCAGCATTCATTTTGTTATTTGAAGACTATATAATTAATCTATGCTGACATTTCCCTTTTTTCTTTCATTGCAATTTTATTTGCAGCAATATTATTCATTAATAACATTCAGATGCTCTGCATAGTTCAGTAAAATTTACAATAAATGTCTTCATTTTCCTAGAAACTACCATTTAACCGAACGCTTTAAGTATAGAGTTACATTTAAAAAGAAGTGTTTTCTATTGTTATGCTATAACTCAAGCCATCATCATTAACCATGACCTCATTTTGATCATGAAATGTTACTAAAATATTAAAGTTGGGAGGATAAAAATGATTGCCAGGAGCAATGCCATCGTAATAATGTGTTTTAATGGAGGAACTGGTTTGTTATATGCTCACTTTTGCAAAGTTCATCTTCATAGCCTAGCATCAGCCCTGATCTCTCCTCTGCCTGCAGCCTGGACATATGACTTGATTCTCTGTGCTTTCATCTGCAGCTAAACATGACCTTCCACTTGTTCATCGTGGCACTTGCTGGAGCTGGGGCCGCAGTTATCGCTATGGTAAGACCTTGAAGCGCTAGCGTTGGTTCCTTTTGACTTACAGAGCTAGTTCCTGTACGAGCAGTAATGCATCTGTAATAGCTAAAGTCCATCAAATCATATTTATTTTAATACCATTTTAAAAATTGGGGGAGGAAGGAAGACAGTGGGCAAATAAATAAGGGAAAAACAAAGCTTAACCTAAAGACATCATCAATAGGAATAATATGTGGTAACCAGTTTAAGCATTAAAATACACAATCCTATTGGTATAATGAGTTAGAAAAGAAGCAAATGCATTCATAGTTCTTAAAATGGAGGTAGCATTGGTGTGTGTGTTTTGAGAGTACAGGTTCACAACTCATTAGCAGTTTAGATGTTAGATTACTATAAACATAAAAATGATCTCTAGAATTTATGAATCAATGTGATATTCTGAGTCATCTAGTTAATTCTTTAATCTGCAGTATACAATTTTTCCCTTAAATAAGAATAATAAAAGAGTCATATTGTGTCTCTTATGGCAAAGGGATTAACTTATCTTTGTTAAACCTCAGTAATTTGACATGATGTCACTGAATACTTCTTTGGAAGTATTAAGAACAAGCCATAGCTACCAAATAAAAAGCACACAGAATTCTTAAATGTTGCAGAAGACATAACAGCTTTAACTTTGACTGGTCCCGGCACCAGACTAAATATTTTAAAAGCATGATAAGACATTTTGGGGACACTTGTGGACTGGCTGTTAATCAGATGATATATATTGCATGCCTGCTGTTAATTTTCCAGTATGTGAAAGGGTATAGTTAATAAGAGAATGTTTTTATTATTTTCTGTATGCACATTTGAAGTATTTATATTAAAATATCTGGTCCCAAATTATCTTGAAAACTAAAATATACTTACGTATGTTGGTTACTATACATTGGATACAGTGATAATATTCACAAAGTATTGAAAATGAGAAGAATTGCTCTTTTCTTATATATATGGATCAAGTATTAGCATAAATAAAATATTTAATATTTCATCTACAGTGGACTAATTTATATATAAACACTACAGATTATGGTCTTTTTAAGTGAGGTGATTCAGAGCTCTCTGAAAATTTATGGACTCATACCTGCATTGCTAAATTTCCCTTTTTTCAGTCCTTCCAAATTAGCTGACCACTGATAAATGTGTGGATTCACAATGACACTAGTGAGAGTCTGTAATTAACCGTTTTGTGATGTATTTCTTATTTGTAAGAGAATATTCTGGTGCTTATTATGGGCATAGTTTATTTTAAGATTTATTTATTTATGCATACAAGAACTGGGGTATAGGCCAGAGGTGTGGGGGGCAAAGGGTGTGAGAAGCTTCATCAGAGACAGAGTGGGGAGCAGAACAGAAGGATCTACTGAAACACACTGCTGAGGGCAACAGCGGGTGAGATAGGAGAGGCCTGCTGCTGTGGCAGTGGGTCAGCTTCCTGGCCCGGGATGCTGCAGTGGCTGTGGATAGCTTCATGGTGCTGCACTTCAACCCTGGCACCACCAGAGAGGGCCCTGTGGGCATAGTTCAAATGGTACATTTCATAGAGCCCAGTCTCCCCTGCCGTTCCAGTGAGAGGTACAGATGTTCTGTGTTGAGTAAGTACAATTATGCAAGGGGTCACTGTCCCAATCCCTTTGTATCCCAAAAAGACTCCAGACCTTCCCCCAATTTGTGACGATCACAGATATCATGTCTTTCTTTATTTTATTTTAGAGCATTATTTTCCTCTTTATTTTTAAATGCCTTTTTTTTTTTTTCCTGTCATGGCAGTTGTTACTTGGGTAGCAAATAAAGATTATAACAATTTTTTTTTTTTGAAGAGTCCTTAAAGTCCAAGTTCATCCCTTCAGGTTCTCACCAATTTTGAGCACCTACTATGTGTTCAGACCTTTCTTTTGTCACTTACATGAGTCCAGTTTTCACTGGAAAGTCAAGTTTCAAGGACACACAAATACTCTCAGCATTAGTGAGAGCTTTTCTAGTTATAGTCTCCAGCTCTCATTTTTGTCCCCTAAAATACAGATAGCATAGAACTCTAGAACCTTTCCACCACCTCATAACTTTGATAGCTAATTCAATATGCAAAGTGGTTGAATTCATTTGGATATATTTAATACCTTTCCTTCTGTTGCCAATTCATTGTTTAATGTGGTGGTGAAAGGAATCTTTTATTTTTTTTAAAGAGTGTTTTATTTCTGGTCAAAGACTAAAAATAGGAATGATGAGACAATGCTGATGAGTTAATGAGCCTTTTCAGACAAGTTATTTTTAGTGGCTTCATAAACACTTTTGTATTAAGATCGGATTCTATTTTCCTAAGAATCTATCTTTAAAAATATCTAATAGAGCCAAGTATATCGTTGCTAGAATGAGTTTTCAGATATTTTGTTGACTTAATCATTGCTCAACATTTTAGATATAGTGACTCTAAACTTCTATATAGGAATTAAGTTTCAGAATATGAGACACAATAAAGTCATATGGATTTATTTATGGCAGGATTACAATAGAATAATGAGCAAATGACTTATATTGTTGACCTAAACTTACTGCTAAAATATACCATAAGGAAGCATCAACATATTCCGGGCAGCGATTTCCAAAGGTTCTTGGCCCCAAGCAACACCCAGCTTGACTGAAATTAGAAGCAACATCTGTACATCTGTATTCATATGAATCTTCCAGTGTGATGGATCATTTTTAGAGACATGCTTTTTTCCACCAGTATCCACTCAGGTGTAAGAAGTCTATCAAAATAGCTTTTGAAAAGGCTTATCTTTTTTTTAAGATTTATTTTGCTTATGCATACAGGCCAGAGGAACAGGTGTGGTGAGAGGCTTCACCAGAGACAGAGTGGGGAGTAGAACAGGCAGATTGATGTACACTGCTGAGGGGAGCAGCGGGCGGGTCAGGAGAGGTCTGCCGCGCCATGTGGGTCAGCTCCCAGGTAGGGGACAGGAACTCACGCCGAGTACTTTAACCCATTGTGCCACCAGGGATGGCCCTGAAAAGGTATATAATTAAGCACTTATAGCATACAGGTGCATATGATACAGTCAAAGTTCAAATTTTTTTTCAATAACTTTTTTATCTTTTTGGATACTAAATAGAGACAGAGCACACATTCCTTAGTAAATAACATCTCCATAGCCCAAGCAGTATGTTCAGCCATAGACTCAGTTTAGGTCTTAGGAGGCACTGATAAATATAATTACTGCTTCTCACCAGCATTAGTATTACTCCCAGGAGTATCGCTGCTAGATATTTTTTTCTTTAAAACTTACTCTGCCAAAAGCATTGTCAGCTGTTTCGTGTATATGAGCACAATCAAGCCCATCTACTGCAGCGATGATCAACCCCCCCCCCCCAAGATCTAGTCCACCCTCTGTGACAGCAGCTGTCTCTACTTCCATATGACCATGAGGAATTGAGATGACTTCTACTTCACCTAAACATTTAGGACGTCATCTGTAATTTGAGACAAGGATTTATAAGATTCTGAATTAAAATTAATATGTACTCTACTCCATCATTTGAAAGGGATGTTAGGGATCAAAATTTGTAACTTGGCATTGCAGCCGGTCCCAGTGCTCACTCCACCTGCTGACCAGGACATGGAACAACCCAGAGCTTGCGCTCTGATGAAATGCCTGCAAGAACCGCTGGGAGGCACCTGAGTTGGAAGATTGAAGTTCTTCAGCACTGAAGAACAGAAGGGCCCTTCTCAGAGTTAATAACTCAGGAGTTATATTTTCTGATGGGGCTCTCCCGGGTGGTGCAGGGGTTAAGTCAGAGATATGGGTTATGGGCCCCAGCCAAGCAGCTGACCCACATGGCGCGGCAGACCTCTCCTGACCGCCAGCTGCTCCCCTCAGCAGTGTACTTCTTTGATCTTCCTGTTCTGCTCTCCATTCTGTCTCTGGTGAATCCTCTTACCACCACCCTCCCCCACCTCTGGACTACACCCCAGTTTTTGTATGCATAAATAAATCAAGGTAAATCTTTAAAAATGCAATATTTTCTTAGACTGTAAAAAGAACGTTTTGAACATCTAAGACTATATTTATTCATTTGGCATATACTTTCAGTATCTACTACATGCTAGACATTTTTCACAGTATTTGTATTTTAGCGGCAACATCAGAATGCCTCCTAAACTGGGTTATGTGTATGAGTCTTTTCTATCTGTGACTATATTTTGATCAAATAAGATTTTACTGTAAAAAGGCCATGGAGTACAAGAATGTAACCCATAACTCCTGTTTGCATGGGGCTTAAAATTTCCATTAAACAAAATGGAAGTTTCAGAGGAAATGAACCATTCTGGCAATGACTGATTCTTATTGGCATGCACCATTTTCTGATAATGTGTCAACATTATTTTGTTATTCTCTTCTCTTGTGTGTTAATAGGCCACAATAGTCACCATTTAGAGTTGATTTTCCATTTTTTATGTCTATCTGTACTTTTTAGAAGCAGCTTATTTCCTATCAAATCTTTTATATTCTTTTTTACTAAATTATGATAAAAGTATTGCTGAGTCTTTAAAACCCAGAAAAAGTAGATCACTGACACGCTAGTTTCTCTCTTCTATTCATCCATAAAAATCCATCATTTGGAAACCTGCTTTCATTCTCCTACAGAACCAGAGAGTGGCAAAGGAAAATGCATAAATGTTCTCATTTCTGAGTCAGTTCAAGTTAAATCATAAGCTTCATTACTTGTGGAACTACATTCTTTACTGAGACAAATTTGGAACTTTGTTTTTGAACAAAGTTGTAAAAGTACGTAAGTAGGCAAAAGTCGTCTGACACAATACTTATTTTTGTGTCGTTTACAGTCTAAAGAAAATCCAAGATGCATTATGTGAAAAATTAACTTAATCAGTAAGTCCACAGGCTTAATTTTACTCAACCATGATCCTTTTTAATATTCAACAGAGGGCAATATAGCCTCTCCTTTATTCAGATTGACTACACTGAAACTATATGAGAATACGTCTGATTAGAGGATAGAAACATAACAACATGAACATGAAATATATCATTTGGACGAATGAGAGTTTAGCGGGCAGGAAAAGTAACTTAAATTTTAAGAAACCGTCTCAGATACTTCAGAGCTGGAAAAACAGAAAGAAAACAAGGTACTGAAAGAAAAGGAGCTGAGATAGATGGTGTCCCTGAGTTGGAAGAGGAAGGAGTGTATTTTATTTCTATCATTCTTATTAGAACAGAAATTTTGATTCCCTTTTATTAACGTAAACATGAATGCATAATTTGAATATTCCATCCCTGGTACTAAACAGACTGCCCATATGCATTATTTTGTCCTTGATTAGGTCCACTACCTGATGGTCCTGTCTGCCAACTGGGCGTACGTGAAGGATGCCTGCCGGATGCAGAAGTATGAGGACATCAAGTCCAAGGAGGAGCAAGAGCTGCATGACATCCACTCCACTCGCTCCAAAGAGCGGCTCAACGCGTACACATAAATGGAGCCCCGTCCTTTCTCCCACTGGAATGCATTGGTGTTTAACTAAAGGGCCATCCAACCATCCAACCTTTTGCAAAACAAAATGAAAGTGCTTCTCATCAATGATATGTAGGGTGACTTATGAATCATCCGAACACGATTCTTTGCTGGTTAGCACTTAATGTCTGAATTTGTGAAATGGTGTAATCATAGATCTTCTACAAGCTCCTATCCAGCCTTTCTTCTTTTTGAAATTTGTGAAATGCATTTAATAATTCGTAAGGTCAAAGATACTACTAACATTGTCAAATGCAAAGATTTATTTGACTTTTAACCACTCCCTATGCGTCACACGTAACACCTATTGCATTGTTTCTTATGTTTTGAAAAGAAAACTAGCTTTTTATACTTTTTAGTTTTGATTTCGGTAACTAGTTTAACTACAGGTAACCTTCAAAGGGACCATTGTACATGATGAACAACTGACAGAGATGATACCACTATGTCGCTTCTGGAAATATGGAAAACTTGCAGGAAGATCAGTGGCCGTGGTCTGACAGGCCCTGGTTAACGTTTTCATCAATCTAAGGTGCAATTTCTAAATTTGTAAGAGTAGGTTCCAAAAAAGTGCTTCTTATCTTTGTTAACATTGTATTTTTTCTCGATGTACTTAAAAGGTATTTCCCTCTGACTCATGTTTTGTTGTGAGCATGTAGACAGTGTTGCTAATGCATGGCTCCTTGCCTTCACAAGACCTTGACGCCAGGCTTACCTGTTCAAGTTGAGTCTAGACACACTTAAAAGGAAATAACTACTGTGGGCTCTCGGAGAAAGACTTCTTTGTGATTTGAGCAGTGGCTGGATTGGAACTTTTAATATGCTAATGTGGAACATTAATTACCTTTATGAAGGTGGTATATTAAAAATAAGCACACTAACCCCTGGGAAGTTGTTTCACCTACTTTAAAAGTTTTAATGGATTGCACCTCTGTAAACTATCCCTAAAATGTGTATGATATATTTGAAAAGGCTTCCATTAATATAATAGCTTTGCTTGCAGCCTTCCAATCTATGTTGGTTTACCTGTAGTGTTTTTTTTAAAGTGTGGTCAGAGGCCACTAGAGAATGTATCCTTTCGAAGTATAGTGATATTTTGTGTCTTTATTTCAAGTAAGTCATTTTAACCAAATGTTCATTCATATTCATTTATAAGAAGTACCTATATCAAAGGAATAAAAAAAAGCAATCAGTATTATTGGACCAAATTTGGTGTTTGTTTTAACCTTGACTCTTCTTTTGATTATTTCTAATGCTACAGGAATGCTGTAAAGTGTCTTTTAAAATGATGTAGCCTGACAAGACATTTTTGTCAGTGTTTAAAAACTAGGTAGTTATTGTGCACTGATTTGACCATTGTGAAATCCTTTCTCAGTGTAAGTGCATTTCTAATAAAATTTATTGAGTGAAACAATCTTTGTACAACGACGAGTCGTATGCATCATCCGTAATTTTACAAGTTCTTGTAGTAAGTAGGGGGTATATTAGGGTTCTGTGGCATGATTATGCATTCTGTAGTATTATTTAATTCATTTGGGGTTGGTTTTGCTTCTTTTTTTTTTACACTTAGACTCTTACTGGTTCAACATTTTCTGATATATGCAGTATTACAGCTATACAGCAAAAGTATTAATGGGCTTCTTTAAATTCTATATTATAGTGTTTCATTTCTGTGTCTTAACAGTTTGTGATGATTTTTAAAACTGTCCTTTAAACTTATGTAATGATGTTGATGCTTTTGGCTTTTTTTTCTGGTATTAGAGTTTGTATTTTCACAAAGAGTGCTTTGTAGCAGGCATTACAATTAATCTGTTTTGTACATAAATGTGCCAACAGCTTGATGGTGGCATTTTTGAAATGTAGAACCAAGTGCTTGCCAAATGTAATAAATACACTTGTGGACTTTGTGTACTTATTATTAGTTTCTGCAGTGTTTTTTTTGGTTTGTTTGTTTGTTTGTTTTATTTTTTTATTTTTGGTTTCGTTTACTCCTCTTTCCTATGTGTGTGCATTCTTTTCAAATGCCATAGGCCCCCCTCTCCTTTGGATGCTTGTCAGCTGAGCTGATCGAACACTCCAAGATTCAATGAAAATTCTGTGTATTAAAACAGTGTTGAATGGGGGTGGGAGGAAGAGGTGAGGAGAAAGCAAAAGGGTAAAGACTGGAGGTGATTTCATTTAACAAATGGTAATTCCCAAGTGATGTTATTTCCTTGACTAATTTTTATTGTTTTGTGTTTTCTTTAGTGCCTCATAAAATAACAGAGAAACACAAAAGACTAATGCAGTTCAGAAAGAAAAATGATTTCTTGGGTCGCTTCAAAATATCAAGGTGAGAGCAATTAAATACAACATATTTTAGATATTTTGTTTGGTTTGAGTAGAATTTCTCCTGCAAAAACTAGAAGTGATGAAAGTTTTAAAATGACAAAGTCATTATCAATAACAATCTTAGTTTTCATAGCCTAAGGAGTTCTCCTAGCCTTCAACTGTTGATGTGTTTTTATGAATGACAACTTGGCAATTTCATGTATTTAGTGTATGTTTATCTAAAAGAGCAGGTTTCTGAGAAAATATGTATCTGATGGGGATTTTTTTTTAAGATTTATTTATTTATGCACACAGAACTGGGGTACAGGCCAGAGGTGC